GGGAAAGAGAAACCTGAGACAGCAGAGTAAGGCACTGCACTCTGGTCATAACTCACTATCCAGACACAGAGATAATGACAGAGGTGTGGAAGAGCTTTTTCTGCAGACGCTGGATCTAATTGGATAGCAAGAACATTCCTTACCATTGTCTAAAGCTGCTGGCAGCTTTGTGCTAGGGCAGAGGAGTGTCTGGGCAGAGCTGGTGGCAGATTGAGGCCTGAACTCAAAGAATGTACTCTCAGCAATAAGCCTGCAGTTCTCTGGAATCCTACCAGTCATAAATGTTTGTTCCAGTCTTATGTGGGTGTATGCTTTTATCACTCATTAATGTTTTGTAACAATCATCATACAGGTGTGAAACAGGAGGATGGACATCAGCTTCCAGGTAGAGTAAGAATTGTACCACAGCAAATGAAAGGATGAGGCTTTTAGCCAGCAAGCTTGGGTGCAAATCAGGGTTGAACTAATGATTAAAATAATTGTCTTTGAATCAGTCCAGTTAAATTAAAGAATGATTTCCAATCAACAGGATTATTTGTGGCGAACATTTAAGTGTGCACGCGTTGTTGGTGTTGCAAATCTTAATGTTAAGCTTGAGTAATCAGTTATTCTCCAGAAGTAAATTACAGGATATTAAATGTTGACATGCATGATTTGCTGTTAGCAGTTCATGCTGTGCTGGTTAGCGTGAGTATCCAAATGGAATAAAAAATAAGCATGAGTAACCAAAACAGTTTAAGTTATTACCATCACAGTTATCAAATTTGCAATTGAAATTTTCGTGAATGCAGTCACTCAGGGTGGTTTTATATCCTGTGTGCTGTTTATTTTCTTCTCTCAATTTACCCTTTTTAAAGAAAACCTGACTGTTTTTATTGAATAACAACCCAGTACAGTGTGAAACTGTCACTGTGGGTCAAGTACTGAGGGAGGTTCAAGAGTCTCGATCAGGATTCACTGTAGGATTTCTGTGTTCTGTTGTGAACAATCAACCAACAGAAACAAACCAAAACTTATTTTACCTATTATCTCTAGAAGCTATCTAAATGCTAGTTTAAAAAACCATAATAAAGCAAACCTTCTAAGAGATGTTCATCTCTTGTCAGGGAAAATGGCTTGACCACTTTCTCTAACATGCTGACAGTTGCTGAAAACAAAAAGAGGAATTGGGTTTTTTCCCTGATACTTTCATTTTTCCACAAAACAGGCGGTTACATCATGTCCATGATTTGGATTTAAAACAACCCATCACTCTCCTCAAGACTGTATTTGCCATTTCCACACAGAGTGCTGAAAAGTCCCTGTGGCTGTGCAGATCCCTGTGCCCGTTAGCGAGGTCATAGATCCAGCCCCTGTCAGACTGGGGGGGTGGCAGCAGCAATACCTCATCATATGCAACATGACATAAAATGTTGTCTGCACTATATATGATGCTGCAGATTCTAAAGCTAGCCATGTGTTGTGCACATTAATTAAGTCAAGGGAAAATTTTCTACCATTTTAATATGTGCATACATTACAGTAAAAAACCCCACATAAAAGGACCAAAGCAATGTACATACTCCTGTGTAAAGTCAGTTCTCACCAATTGTGTTAAGTTTGTTAAATGTTTTCATATTATTATTATTTATTATTGTTTGTTTTTATTGTTTTATTATTATTATTATTACTACATATGTGAGTTTTTGCCTTATTTTGTAACACCTTTGTAATGACATCTTTCTTTCTAATGTTATGTTCATTAATTTAAAACAACTTTATTTGGGAGAAATCAAAGCCACAGTATTCCATAAATTATTTTATTTTTGTCATGTGCATTTGTTTGTTGTTGTTATTATTATTTATTGTTGTTTTTTTTTTATCCATTATTACTCAGTAGATTCTTCCCATCCCTCCTCCCACCCTCCTTCAGCTACAGATGGTGCAGCAGGTGCAAATGCCACAGATAATGCAAATGCCAGCTTAGTCAATGGTACGTCAAGAACCCCTAGCTTGTTTTGTTTGATGGAATTCTCTCCTGACTATGTAAGATTCCCTCTTCCTTTTATGAACTGCACAGGTGTACGTGCATGTGTTTACCCTCTGAGAGATCCTGTCCTATAAATTCTGTAGTAACTTATAAGAGATGCCACAAAGATGCTGCAGCTTCTTTATTCACATGGAATTAAACATGGAAGAGGAAGAAGCAGAGATTGTGATGTATTTGCCATTAATTAAAACTGCAATTGAAAGGAGCAGTTAAGCGAGGCTAGTTTCAAAACTTGATGTGAAGTTTCATTGTAAATCTCTTCTTTACACATTTTTCAGCAGAGATCTGAAGCACACCATGATAAACAGATTCTTTTCTTCCCCTGTGGCACTCTCATAAGTATCCATGTAGTCCTTGTGTAGTTGGGAGAAGTAGTGCTGGGGTCAGGAATCTGGCTCAGTTTCAACTGCTAGTGCTTTAGGAATAACTCTTGCTGCTTAGAGCACATTTTTTGGAATGGATTGACTGAAGTTATGTTTGTGGGTATTTGTGTATGCCCTTAGCACAGTGATCACCTGGTGAGCCTGCCTGGATTTACTGAAAAGAAAAAAATATAAAACCAGTACAGCAGTTTTGACTGTCTCTTAGCACAGATTCTTGACCCCATGTCTTAGCATGCAGATGTTTCGGTATCTCTTCTCATAGTCTAATTCCAGTATTAAATAGAATGGGTCAGGATGAGTCTAGGCAGCTGCTGTGTTTTTCTGATAATCAGATCCATTAGTCTTTATTTGCCATAGAAACCTTTCCCCCTTGTACAGCACCAATAATACTGACAAAAGTAATTCTGCTTTTCATCCAGTTGGTGATAGAAATATTTTTCCATGTGGGTGAGTAGTTGTTGCATTATGTATGTGAAACTAGTGTTTCTGACATTGCAATACCAAGTACTAAAGAACTACTAAGATTTACTAGTGTAGTATCTTATTTAAAGAAATGACAGAGGAAACCTTTGAGCCTATTTCAAACTAATTTTATTATAATTTAAAGAAACATAACCAGGAATAAAATTTTACTCCTGCACATTCGAAGTTTGCTGGAAAACTAGGATTGATGAGCTCTGCATCTCCCTGCATGACAGGAACCTCTCCTATCCTGGTTCCAACACCCTAATTTCAGATTCCTTAGAGACCGAGAACAAGAAAGTTAATGGTGAATGTTTAATTCTCCATTCCTTGTGCTCTATCATTCTACTCTCTTGTGTGCAACAACAGAGTCTTAGAAGACATCCTCCTCCAGTGCTTTGCTGGCTGAGAACTATTGCAAGATGCAGAAGGGAGTCCTAAATTGTTCCAACTTGGTCTTAGTTTTAGAGGCTAGTAAATACCTGTTGTGTTCAGTCTTAATGCCTGAACTTTGTACGGAAATTGAGTTCCAAGGGATATTAAATAAGTGACTTAGGTGTGTGATTGTCCATCACCTCCTCTGCCAACAGAAGCAATACTGGCTGTCCCTGTTTGTCTCAGATTTGAGATGCACACTCAGTTGGTGTCAGTGCACAAAGTATAGGAGTCAGGTTTTTGTGCAGCTGACTAAATTACTGCTTAAAACTCCCCTGAGGTGAGGCAGTTTAATTAATTCTGCAGACCTTTGATGAACATGGAAAGGAGGTGCTTTCCACAATGGAGCTTCTGACACTGTTCAGAGGAGAACCAAGACTTGGCATGTAGCATTAGATCTGAGTGCTTTGAAATGCTCTGGGAAATTGCCCAGGTCTGATTGCTGTTTATATTATGCATTTTTCTAGTCAGCAGTGAGTTAGAGAATACTTAAAATGTAGGTATGTTTTGAAGAGGAGAAAGGAAGGGAAAACATAAGTTCTAAAGCAAGGAGACCAAGTTCATGTACATATTTTTTTGGTCTGGATGAAATTAATTTTTTTCAATAATGTCTGAGAATCCTCCCTGAGATGTGACTGGAAACAAGCAATTTACATGAAGTCTAATACCTCTGTGCAGACAATAGCTTCAAATAAGAAAAAGTAGTATATACCTGTGTAAGTACTTCGAGTCAGGAAATGCTATTGCTTGTTACTTGTTACAGCTCATTACCATTTCAACTAAAATGTTGCTATTGGCTAAGTTGTCAATACACATTTGACACAAAAGGAGTATTTTCAGTCACTGAGCTTACAGTAATAAATTCATACAGGTTTGAGACACAGCCTGTTATCTGCTGTAGTGGAGGAACTATTACAAATTCTGTTGGGTTCTAGTAGTTAAGATTAAAATATATAATAGTTTGATGGTCTCTTTCTCAAAACTATGGACAATCTGTTCAGTTTTCAAAAAGTTACCAGTTCAGATTATAAGCAGATCAGAAGATTTTACAGAAAGGTAAGGAATTCATGAAAAGTCTTTGAATGTTTGAGTGTTGAATTTAGAAAAGGTAAAATTTTTAAAAGGAAATACAGGAAGCAACAATCAGTGTTTAGTGGTTTCGTTACCCAAATTTTATTGCCTTAGAGAAGGGAGTGCTTATCAATACTTCTGCTGTTAATTCTGGCAGCTCTGGTGTATGTACAATGCTCTTTAATTCCTGCAAAGCTATTTGCAGTTTGAATACATTTTAAAGTGTTTTCTCAATTGTAAGGGAAGTTATTTAGTGAGCGCATGGAAGAATTGTCTAAAACTTCCTATTTGATACAGTGGAATCAGATTTTATTCTTTTGTAGTTAACCTGTTTTTACTAATGTTTTGGCTGTGATCTCACACTGCATGAAATAACTCCTAGTGATTCACTTCAGATATGTTTGACATCACCTTTCCCCCCCTTTGTATAGATTTGAACTGTGTGTCTGTTCCTACCAGCTGCAGAATATAACTGACTTGGCATGGAGAGGACTAGAACTCATTTCTGTTGCACAATGAGACACTTTTGGAAAATCAGGAGGGTATTTTATACGTTGTTCCATCATAGCACATGAGAATGGAACTGCATTAGCTTCTTTGATTGATTCCAATGAACAAATACCAGCAGTAGGTCTTTGTTATTCTGTCCTTCATAAAGGGTTGGGAGAGATAAAGGGGGGAGTCTTGGGAAGTTTATTCAAAGAAATAACTGGATTTTGGAGTAAGAACTTTGGCAGTAATGGTGCCATGGGTATGTTCCAAAAGCAGAAATTTTAATAAGGCAAAGACAACATGCAAAATACATATTTAAATTCAAAACCTTAAAAACAACTGCAGAATACAGCTTCTATCAAGTGGCTCTATATTACTTTCTGTACCTGTTGATTTTTCATCCTTGGTTAGAACAGTGGGGAAAATAAATTAATTCCTTCAGATTTCAGGGGCCAAACTTTGCTCCTTTTACTTCTTTACAAAAGGAAAATAAGAAAAAAAAAATCACTAAATTATGTAAAAAAACCACACCCATATTTTCAAATAAATTTATTAAAATGTTATCAAAATATTAATATGTACTCATCCTTTTTATGTATTTGAAAAACTCACAAGGGTCAGAAAGATGGGATGGTGTTTCCAGTCCTAGCAGTAGCTGAAAGGAGAAAGGATTTCTCAGCAGTAGTAGTTCTATCATCTTATTTCCTAATTTCTTTATTCATTCATTATTTATAGCCAAGTGCAGGCTTAAAATTATTTTCAACAGGAGGAGATAAATCCTTTACAGCATTATTTTCTTTATCGTAGTTACCTAAATTGTTTTTGCTTTGTTATTCCAAGTAAATAATTGGAATATAACAAGTTGTGGTGACTACCCCCTACCCACCCCTCAGTAATCTGGGTGCAGTAACTGCTGAGGTTATGAATATATTTCTTAAATATTTATGTTTACATTGTTGTTAATGATGGTACATTTGATGTACTGATATTTTTAGGTAGCCGGGGTAGATGGGTTGTTGGTGTAACTCATTGTGACAATGATGACACCCCTTTTAAATAGCAAATACATATAATGAAGTGAAATACTTTGGTTTGCATAGAAAACCAGTGTATGTGATGCTTGCCAGTTAGGTATGGCATAGATTTGGGTTTGTTTAGTTTTGGGGTCATTTTTTGTTTCGTTTTTAAGTTGAAGAATCTTCAGTTATACTTGCTTTAAGGTTTTGAATTGCATTCTGGAAAAAGATCCATAGAGCATGACACAGAGCAGACTGTCTGCCCTAAACTTAATATTTTCCAGTTCTTAAGGAAGGCTTTATCCTCTATCCAGAAATCAGAATCTCTAGAGATGTTTTATGTCTTCCACTAGCTTTATCAAAAACTATTGTAAGAAAAATAGCCATTAGGCAGGTAGCAAGTTCAACTATGCACTGTATGCAGAAATTTTTATGCAGGTTTCACAGTGAAAATGAACTTGGTTCTTTTCAGGTTCGTGGGTTCAAGTCTGATAGCAAAATGTCTTTGGAAGATAGATAATGACTTCTTATAAATGTCAGGTTATAGCCAAGGTGGGAATAGAATAAGAAACATAGACAAGTGGCTGATGGTAGGTGGTTCTTTCAGCATACTTGAGTAATCCATCTGAAGCTGAGATACGTGGAGCAGAACAGCCTGTCCTGGGCTCTAGTTCTCTGCTTCTGAAGCTCTCCCTGCCTGTAGCTGGTAGCTTGGGGTGAAAGGTTCTAGTGACATGTTCATGACTGATTTGGCCATTTTTGTTCTTTTTGTGAGGGAAGGTTTTAGTGATCTCCTAATTACTGAAAATACAAACGTGCAAGAAATGCATCTTGGCCCTTGAATTTTGCTGCTATTATTCACAGCATAGAGTGAAAAAATGAATACATATGTTGAATCTCTGCTGTTTTTTGCATGTCAGTACCAGCTGTATTGTTGCAGGATGTCAGAATTAACTGCTGTCCTACCTTTTATAAACTCTAATGATACATTCCTCATTGGAATATGTCAAAAAACCTGCAAAGGGGTTTTAATTATCAATTTTCCTTAACATTGTTTTTTTTATTGTGCTTTATGCATAACAACAAAAAGATAATATCATCCATTCTGAATGCAGTATTTTTAAAACTCAAGGAGTCTTTTACAACAGCTGAAGCCATATCTCACTGTGAAAGTTTCATAAAGGATCCTGCCAAGAGATTTCGGAGGCATTTGAAATTGTTGACTGGCTATTGTGAAACCAAAGTTTTGTACACTCTAGCTTGTGTTTTGCCATTTTTATTTCATACACACCTTTAAATAGTGTATTTTCATTTTTTTGAATACAAGGACTTTTTAAAGACTGTAGCTAAAATACTAAATTGGAAATTATAGATACATTTGGCAAATCTAGCTTTATAAATCTAAATATGGGATGATCACTTGGCACTCATTTACAGGAGTAACTTGCTAAATAATGCAACCAAGTGAGGAAGCTAGAATTTTAAATCATACCTGATTAACATTTTCATGTATTTATATTTATTAGCACTTACATTTTGTTCTAATTTCCTAAAATACATTCAGAAAACAATGGTTTATACTGGCATGCGCCAATGTTATACCTATTGTTTTTCATGTCCCACCTCTTTCAAATTTCAGTTCAGGAATATTCTTCAAGTTCTACTTTCCAATGGACTCTTTATTAGTTTCACCCTCTACACTTACGTGAGTTGCTCAAAAATATGTGCTGATATTAAATATTTTGTTACAACATTGAACTTGAACTGCAGTTCCTTGAAGATGTCCAGCTAAGTTGTCCATGCTTCTAAGTATTATAACAATGGCTACTGGTCACAAATAAGTATCTGTAACATACTCATTACTTTTGTCTGCCCTTTTTATTTGAATTCCCATTTTCACGTTCTGTCTTGGGTGAAGATTGTTTACTGTCTGTTGTCTGTTGAAATTTTTCATCATTTAGGCAAAATGCAGGATGGGAATATGGAGAACAGCCAGAACAAAGGTAATCTTCTTTCCTATTAAGGAGGTTGTGGATTTTATTTTTAGCATGTAGTTAAATCCTGTTTAAAAAAAAAGAATAATTAAAAAACAAAACAAAACTGTGGTTTGTGCCTGTGTGTAAAAATGGCCCAACTGTTCAAAGGGAATGTTGAAAAAACCCCAAACAACCAAACCCAACAAAAAATCCTGCTAAAGAAATTCTAACATACAGAATTTTTATGTATCAGATATTTAGGTTAGGAGAAGATCAGTATTTCTAATAAAGTTTTTTTTTATTATAATTTCATGTTACCAAGTTTGTTTGATTCCATTTTTCTTGTGCAAGTTCTGTATGCCTTGTAGTGTTAGTGAAGTTGCACCCCTATTTTTTATATGTCTTGTCATCTTTGGTGTTCAGTGGTGTTGTATGGACCTATTTTCATTTGCAGGGAGGGGTAAAGCCATAACAAAAGGATATTTTAAAGCCCTGAGGTTATTTAGCCATGTAGAAGTGTATTATAAGAGTAAATAACAGGAAGATTAAGAATCTTAGCAGTTTCTTATTTAATGTACACTTTCAGGAAGAAACTGATATAAATATTTTGCTTTCTCTGAAGCAAAAGTCATGGTTCTCTTTTTATTATATGAGACACAGCTATCATGATTTCTTTGGGTTATGCCAAGTAAGTAAATTAAACTGTAACTCTTTTCTCATATAATTTTAAAGATTGCAAAGGTGGTGGATCAGAAATTAATAGATAAGCTCAGTTTTAATGGTACAAAACTATTAAATAAAATTACATTAAACAAGTAAGGTTAAGGTTAAGGTTTTTAAGGTTAGAAGAATTAGATTTCCAGGTCAAATAAGCATGGTTTTGTACAACTGGTCACAAATGTGAAAGCAAAGCTGTTTCATCTCATTCTATTTAATTTCCTTTAGTCTGTGTTCACTAAAAACCAGACACATACACATATATAAACTGGAATGTCATTGCTTTGTAAAAACATGCCTTTCTCTTTGATACTGAAGTAAAGTTTCCTTATATTAGCATTCCTTCAAGAAAGGATGGTTTAGCCTTTAAATTTTTTATGGGAGAATGGTGATGCTATCACCATCTGACCTGCTGGTCGGGTTACTTGAACGCTGAATGCTAAGGAAACTTATGAAGCCTGGCATTGTCTAGAATAGTGGTTCACATCATGTGGTCCACTGGTCACTGGGGTGTCCATGTGGTCAAGAGAAGTGGTGCCTGGGTCATCCATGGAGCCACACTGCCTTTAAAATGTTTCCATTGAAAGTGTTATGATAAGAGTGCATTGTTCTCTGTCAGACATATCAAAATGCAGAGATATATCAACCATCTCTTTGCCAAAGCATTTGAGATCTGCTATTCTAGGAAATCCTGCACTGCTGACGTGCTGCTACTTGCCAAGTAATCTGCAAGACATTAAGTGATATATATGTGTATAGCACAGAGTGTCATTGGTGGTTGAAAAGAGTAAATAAGCAAATAAAAATCAATGGTTTTCATGGTATTTGACAAACTGCTTTACATATCCCCAGATGTATGGAGTGCACATGAGTGTGCTTGTACATCTGTGTCCCTGCAGAACCCCACTGGGTCTCACAGGGCCATCTCTCTGCCATGAGAGAGAGGTGTCATTCTGTGCACAGTCACAGTCATCTGTGCTGCAGTCAGCTGCTGCCACGGGTGTTGCTGGTTGAATTCAGTAAGTACCAACACTAGGATAAAACCAATTAATAATAGTTTTGGAGTAACAGTTTTGTTCTGCGTTACTAGCCAAGCAGCAGGATGGGGCTGCTGCCATGGAGATGCAGCCACTGAAGAGTGCAGAAGGGGGAGAGGGAGATGACAAGGACAAGAAGAAATCCAACATGCACAAGAAGGAAAAATCTGTTCTTCAGGGAAAGCTGACCAAGCTGGCAGTCCAAATTGGCAAAGCAGGTATGACTGGATAACTGACCAAATAGCAGTGTGTCATACTGCCATCAAAGGGTTTTAAAACAAGGGATTCTTTAAAGGGATAGGCCTTTTTTACTGCAATGTTTAGAAGTAGGTCATCATAATACTGCATGGCATTGAAGTTCTTTTATTCTTCTAAAACTCAGCTTTGACTGTCAAGAAACTGGAAGCTTTGGGCAACTCGGATCGCAATGAATATTTGAATCAAAATGAAATGCAGCTTTTCTCATAGGCAATATTCCCAAGTGCAGTAATTACATCTTTAATTTCCTCTCCCCTTAGAACTTCTGAGTATGCAGTTTCAGAATCTCTAATATCATCTCTCACACAGTACTTTCCTCTTCCAAAATCAGGATTCTGAAATCATGCTGTTCTTTTTAATATCCATGTTCCTGCCTTCTCCCCAGTCAGACACATCTGTTGACTTTTGCATCCACTACCACCTGGCTCCTACTGTTATAGGCATCACTTCTCCATCATGTAGGTAGAATGTGAAAATATGTACAAAGTGAAAATCTTTCATAATGACATAAAGCTCATTAGGTTATTTTTTTTTTCTGGTGGTATTAAAGAGATCTTGATCTCTATCCAGAATCTTGGCTGGGGCCCTACAACAGATTCCTAACTTTACCTCTGTTCCATCTCCTTTGTGCTTCTTTACCAGTCTGATTTTTACTCCTGTTATTCCTTTTAATTCCTTCTTAAGGAATTAGTTGATCATGTAACCCTGAGCTGCCACTTCTGTTTCTCTGCCTGACCAGTCCATGATGCAGAATCTATGGTTATCACCTCTTAATATTCAATTCCATGTTTTGCCCAGTTTCATATTCCTCAAGCTTCTCTGCTTGGTTGCTAGTTGTACAACAGTGAGCACTGATACAAAACCACTTCATTTCTCTTGATCATTAATTTCTTAGATTAAGTACCTTTCTACATTGCCTTCTGATTATTGCTCTCTTTGGTATTTCAGCAGCCATGTGAACATCACTTTTAAAGTAAATGTATAGGGATTTCTAACCATAATGTGGCAAGTAAAATGAATTAAATTAATTAATCATTGCCTCATTTGGTTTTTCTTTGTCATTGGGCAGTCTATAGGGATGCCTGGCATTGTCCTGAGTATTTGCCTGTGCAATATTTTGTATGGATTTTCCTTTATCCTCTGGCATTTGGCTGTCTCCCTGACTCATCTGTTCCCTGTCAACTTCAGCATCCTTCAGCTTAGTAACCTTTTTCTTAACTTCAGTCAATTCATGAAATTCACAGCATTCCCCTTCTACTGTATGATCTCATGAGTGAGAAATGAATTTATTTTGAAATGCAGGCTTAACTGCTTTGTATAAACCTGCCAAAGCACAGTAATCATAGCAAGGCAAAGGAGATGTTCCCATGGAGTTTTTATTTGTATACTCAAATCCAGGAATAAAACTGTGGAGGAAAACTTCTATCTTAGCAAAGTCTGTGTCATGGGGAGAGCCTGTTAAATCCCTGGGGTCTTTTGTGAATTCTGTAAAATACTTAGTAGTGTCTCTTGTGCTATACCATCAGTGTTGTACCTCCTTTCAGTCTCTCCTCATAAAAGTATGCACTGTTTGTATATGTCCCTTTGAAAAAGGAAACCTTGAACACTAATACTTATCACAGTTTCAAAATAAAAACGAACAACAAACATTCAGAACTGTTCTGTGAACGATTCTGCAGTATTGCCTCATTGCACTCAGACACATCAGTTGGCCTTTTCTAAAATATTTTATACAGCAACATAAACTACAGGAGATTCCTTTTCCCAAACCTCTTAAGATAAGCTTATTTAAAACTGAAATATGAGTGTTTGAATGTGTATAGACTAGTAATTTGTAGAAGGTGGAGGCTTAAAGGACAGATAAATGATGTAGCAGGCAAAGTAATGTACTAAATTGAAACAACTCAGCTTAAGCAACAGCAGAACTCATGTTGACTGAGGCGTTTTAAAGGCAGCAGGAAGCTGGTGCTTAAAAATGAATGCAGTATGATTCAGCTATTCTGTAGAATTCAGTGAATGTTATGGCCACTGTAGAAGTAATATAGTAATATTTTTTTCTACATTTAAAAATGCATAATTATCCTTTCTATTGGTACTGGGGAAAAAAAAATATCACGTAGAGTAATAAAATAATTGAATGTGTTCAAATGTCAGTTTTGAATTGCACTTGTTTTTAATTGTTTTGTTTTATAGTAACTGATTATTTCTATTTTCAGGTTTGGTGATGTCTGCTATCACTGTAATAATTTTGGTACTATATTTTGCCATCGACACCTTTGTGGTCAACAAGAAACAGTGGGTGCCTGAGTGCACTCCTATCTATGTTCAGTATTTTGTGAAATTCTTCATTATTGGTGTTACCGTACTTGTGGTTGCTGTTCCTGAGGGACTTCCACTTGCTGTCACTATTTCTCTGGCTTATTCTGTAAAGGTAAGAAACACTAAAAGGAGCTGTTCAGTTAAGTTTGCTAGTAAGTTATTCTCCAGGTTTTCTCAGGTGTGATGAATTAATGTGCAGAAAAAGACTTAAAGAGAGTGAAATTTCATTAAAGCGAAACTTTGCTTTACTTTGAAAGTATTTCTAATAAAAATGCAAATATATATTGATATATTATAATACATATCTTTAAAAATACACACTGCAGGAATACCAAACAACTGAGATAGCTACTTAGCTTGCAAGGTTACCAGGAATTGACTGAGCAGAATGTACTATGAGTATAGTCCAGTCTTTTGATATAAAATAACTTTGTACTATTGCACAAGAATATCTGAAGACAAAGTTTTGACACGGATCTGAACTATCCAGGAATGTTTTAAACAAAAGTTTAAACAAGAGCTTTTGTGTACTTTTCTTAAATGTGATTGCAGTTGTTTGTGTCTGATGTAAATGCTTCTGTTAGGAAATTAAAGAGCATTAAAATCCTGGACTGTTGGATTACTCCATTATTTATTGAGTTTTCTCAGATTGTTTTAGCAATTTAATTAGATGGGCCTTCTTTAAAGATTTTGGGAATATTAGGTGAAGTTTTGTAAAGTTTACTTCCGTTTAATGCGGAAAATTAGCATGAACATGAGGAGTGAATAGCTTGATTTATAGATAATCAAACATCATTATTAGGAAAAATGAGCAGATCTCAAGCATGGGATTCTGCTAATAAAAACTGTAGCTGTCTAGAAAATATTTTCATGTTCCCCTTATGTCCTTCATCCAACATGTGTATCTATATTTGCAGTATCAAACTGCAGTGCAGCTTCATGCACAACTGGTGCTGCTGTGCCTTGTGAGTGTCAGCCAAGGGTCAGGTCAATGGACACAGGATTGTTTGAAACTTGAAAACCCACAACCAAGGACAAGATGTATTTCCAGGATGCACTTTGTGAAAAATTTGCTCTGTGGAACAGAGTGCTCTGGTGGTTTTTTGTGGGTGTGGGGCTTTTTGGTTTGTTAGGTTTTCTTTCTTTCCCAAAATGAGTAGCTCCTTTCTGTGCTGCAAGATAAACTCCTGGCACTGGAAGGAGTTTTTGTAAAAGTCTAATATTTGCTATAATTACACTGTTTAAAAAATCCTGTTATCTTCAGTTTCTTTAGGTAATTTTTGCTGTTCTAGCTATTCCTTAGCATGCATATACTGCAAAATTTTTGGAACTATATCAGTTTATCAAAAGGCAGATTGTTCCAGGGATGGTTGCTGCTTGCTTGTCTGTAACTAGGGCTTGGGTTGTTGGCCCCAGTTAGTGCTCTAGTTTAGTGAACATTATGGTTTAATGAACAAAACTATATACACACTTTTTTGGGGGTGTTTTTTTATAACTGATGTTAAGAACTTATCAAAGCAAATCCTGAAGGTGTTTGATTTTGTTGGGTTTTTTTCTCAGAAAATGATGAAGGACAACAATCTGGTCCGCCACTTAGATGCTTGTGAAACAATGGGAAATGCTACAGCCATCTGCTCTGACAAAACAGGGACACTCACCACCAACAGGATGACAGTCGTCCAGGCCTACGTTGGGGATGTCCACTACAAAGAGATCCCTGACCCAGACTCTGTACCTGCCAAAACCCTGGAGTTGCTGGTTAATGCCATTGCTATCAACAGTGCTTATACTACAAAAATTCTGGTAAGCAGCCTTTTTCTGTCAATTAAATAAAGCAGAGCAGAAGAAGTTATATGTATATTTTTTTCAACATCCTGTTGTTGGTTAGGAAGTGCTAAGTACTGTTGAAGTCCTCAAAATGACAACAGGTGCTGTAAAAACTATATATTTTATACCTTTCTTTTTAGGAAAGGTATGTACTTGTAAGTGCAAGACTGTGCTATGTTTTTAAAACTGCTGTTGTTAGACTAGGATGGCCCAATTTCAGGGAAGTTAGATTTGCTAACTTGACTGGTTTTCACTAAGACTTCATATGTGTAAAATTATTTGTGTCTCTTAAGAACTTTGAATTAATTCTCAAGTAGGACAAATTGCATTGGCTAAATTGGCAAGGTTAATGATCTTTATTCATTTTGGTTTCAAGTGAATTACATCCAGAAATATTTTATTCATTCTGTAGCAGAGGGCAAAATGGAAATAATCATGTTTGCTTGTGGCATTAGATTCTTCTGCACAGAGCTAATTAAGATGCTGAAAACTTATGCAATTCCAATAGATCTGTTCTTTCAAAGGTCAAGCTTAACCTTACTGTTGCAGAACAAATACATTTATTTTAGTTTATGAATTTATGTGTTGTCCTTTTTATGTGCTGAGCTGTGTAATAGTCTAGCATGCACTTCATGTTTGTTTTAGAAGCAGTCTTTTAAAACAGAATCACAACTGGTGCAATACTGCTGAATGCTGGAGCTAGTTCCTAGTTCCTTTAATTCTTGCTGTGCAAATATCTGGACATGAAAAACAATCAACACTTGGATAAGGAATGTTTAGAGAAACTTGATGCAGAAGTGCAAAGCATGTTTGTGGTGAAGGTATCTTTGACATGAGTGCTCCCAAGGGTTGTTTGCCAGGGTTAGTGTCTGAAGTCAAGGCCCAGCTCAGGCACCCTTCAGACAGTCCCATGCTTTGGGGCACTCACCCTGTGCTTGCTGAAAGCTCTCAGGAGAGGGAAATGTGGGAAGAACCAGCCCCTGAGGCAGGTGAGTCCTTCAAGAGGAGACAGGGAATTACGCAAAGCCTTTGTGAGCTCAGAAAGACACTGTTAAGTTTCCACCTTCCAGCTGCAATCAGCCAGCAATGGAAGTGCACCTTCTGGTGTGCTGACAAACAGCTCTAGTCACTGGAGGCTGGAGGCCCTTTTGACTACAAATTCAGATACTCTGGAAGAGCAGTGCTCACTCAGCTATGTCCCCATTTCACCTGTAAGCAACCAACTAGCAGCACCAGCTCCCAACACAATCCTGGGACTTAGTCCTTGTCCTCTGATCTATCCAGGTCACAATCAGCCAGGTTAGCTGCAGTGAAGGATGGGCCTTCCATTCTCAGGTGGGTCAGTGTAGATGTTGCGTATTAACTCAGTGTAGATATTTTATGGCAATGCCTTTTTGGAATCTAATTTGCATACTGTAAATTAGCAAGAATATTTTACTGTTGCTGGGTACATCAGGCTTTGAAAAATGAGTGTAACATTTGGTTGTTGGGGGAAGAAACATACATCTTAGTTATTTTCATATTGTTACAGCATAAGTAAGGTGAACTGCTTCTGTAGAAAGAGAAATAGAATCAAACTCATCCTCAGCACACAGGCTGGGATGGAGACAAGGCCATACAGACCAATTGGGATGAAGGATAGTAAGTAGCTACATCAATTTGTGTTTGTATAACTGCTGATGTTATTCACCAGCATCAGTCTTTGCTGATGAATTTGGGAGGGCTTTGAGGGAATGTCACTAATGTTGGCAGAGTTTTCCTCATTCCTAAGAAACAATGTGGCAGGTGGGTCTGGTAGTGAAGTCAGGTGTAACTGGCAGAGCAAGACTCAGTTGCATCTGGTCTTCATTTATTCTATGCTTTGCTGTTTATTTTGAATGCTTGAGATCAGACACAGTAACAAGGTGTTTCTGTTCCACTCCCACACAAGTTCACCCTCAGAATCTCAGAGATGTTTCAGGTTTCTGAGTAAGGCATGGGAAGGTAGAAACATCTCTAATACTAAGTTTAATGTTCTGTCTTTCTCTTGTGGTATTGGTTTAATTGGAAAAATTTCTGGCCAATAGTAGTTCTAAAATTTTGCTTTGATCTCAATACAATTTTGAATTTCTGGTTTGACTTCATTACTTCTTGTTGAAATTAGTTATGAAATAGAAATAAATTGAAATTAGCCTATTAAAAAGAGTCAGTATTTCAGCATTTCAGTTCTGTTTTAGCTTTCCACAGAAACTGATTTTCTGTAAAATTGGTAGATGGGTGAAATCCTCCAGAAATCACCTGTGTTCTGGCTGCATATCACACCACCTTTTAGCTCTTACAGCAGCATCAGAGATCAAGTATGGATGCACAGGAATAACAACTCCAATGTCAGAGGAGTTCATTTTATTTCTTGTTTACAAGAAGCTTAAGCTGAAATTTAAGATACAAGATATTGTTTCGTAGCTGTTATTCATTTTTAGTCATAAATTAATACAGTAAAAAAATACATAGGGGAGTTGTTTTCAGGATGGAGTGTAAAGAATTATTTTTCTAGCTGCTAATACTGCATGTTTGCTTGTGCACTAATTCTTAGAGAATATTGAATCAAATTGTGAAAATCAGCTCAAACCCAAAGGACATATAAGTGTTTTATTGCTAAGATTGAATTTTACATGTTCTATTTTTAGTTATCCAGTTATGCATATGCTGTAAATTATGCTTTGTATGAACTTCTGTTCAGAGTGATCACATATGGGACTATAAAATTAGACAAGATGCTCTGCTGAATGAGAAAAATTCCCTCTTGCATTGTCTTTTGATTAAGGGGCAATTGAACCATTGATAAAAATATAAAAAGAAAATAATATCACTTCTTAGGATAAAAGATTTTAATTTCCCTGAGAAATTAAACACAAATTATTCCAACTGAACAATAGCATCATTAAATGTAGTTCTTTTTCATGCCTTCCAAGGATTAAGTTACTGGGTGAGCTGATTTTGCATTCCATTAGCATCAGAGCAACATTCATGCCACTTTTATACTGCTTGTGTGAAGCTGTTCTCCAGAAAACCTTTCTTTTCCAGTATTCATGTTTGTAGCTTTCCCACACCCAAGTCTGAATGCATTTTTGCATGTGAGCTGAGGTGAGGGTTGTAAAGCATCTCTTGATCTGAAAACAAAATTTGCATTTTGGGAATACTTTATTGCATTTGGAGCAGAAGTGCATTGATCTTGAGTATCATGGAGCAATAGTGACATAGAGACTCTAACTGCCAAGACTAATGATTTCAGCTCTGCCATTGGGCTCCTGCTTGCATAAATTCAGTTTGAATTAGAAAAGTGTTTCTTCTTATTTCCTGAGAACTGTTGGAGGGCATAGATGCTGTGCTTGCTGGGTGGGTATAATGTGCTCTTATTAAGAAGAGATCACAGTTAGTATTTAGTTGAGTGTTTTTCAGTACCAGTGGAAAAGACCCAGCTGAACTTATTATTGTGAGGCTCTAACACAGGCATTTCATTTGGTACTTGATAGGTGCCTAGGGAGCAAAAAAGCTACTTATGCCTGTGTTAGATGAATGTCTGGATCTGCATCAGGATGGCTGCTTTCAGTTCCAGCAATCTGAAGTGTCATTCACTGCATTTGCACACTATGTGGCACAGTGCAGCAGCATCCTCAGCAGGATCCCACAGGGACAGAGATGTCAGAGAAATGTGCAAAACATTCACTCCCTTCTGTACCTTCTGCCAGCTTAAGAGATGAGGTAAACATATGTTGGTCTGTATGGTGGGAAATGATAGTCATGTAAGGAATGGGACCTTACACAAGTTATGGAACAAAAATGCTGATAAAAGTCTGATAGAAGCAAAAATAGTGAATGAAAGGCAAAAAATAATAAATAAAAAGAATGCAGACAATTTTATTGCATCCAGAGCAGATAAAGCAATGTTACCAGTTTATGGGATGGCAGAAGGACACCTCTCTAAGATACTAGTGAAGTAGCAAAGGTGGCTCCCAGCATCCAAATTCCAACCACACTCCTAACACAGCCCGACATGAGGATTTTGGGCCTCTTCTCAAAAGGCTGCAGGGATGGCTGTGAGGGCCCCAAATAACCCCCCACAAGGAGGAGCAGTGAGTCCCCTCTGTGGGAGGAGCTGCTGAGGACACAGGCTGGTTGTGGGGTATGTGGCAATAGGATGGAGCTGCATAGGAGAGAAAGGTATTAATTCACCTTCTTGCTTTGTGTAGTTATTTTTCCTGAATACATAATAAAATATCTTATTTTAATAAGTGGCACAAAAATTCTAACTTAATACTGAAGCAGATTAAGAGATTTTTGGCTTAGATTTTTATTGTTACAAATAGAGAGTTCTTTTCCCTCATGGTCTGCTGCAGAATATTAGAAGACTTTCTTGCAGGAAAGGGGTGGAGGGAGGCTGGCAGAGCAGGCAGGTAATCTGTAATAGCTGAGAAACAGAAGAAGAAATGGCATTGTACAGGAATAGACTAAAATCTACTGTGGGTGTCAAAAACAGGGATGTAGTAGCCAGGTGAAGGGTGATTCTGATTTGTGAGAAATATATTTGCAGTGTTCTGAGTTAAAAAACCCCCAGCAAAACCTAATGAAAACACACAGAGAATGAAGACAGAAATGGGGACAGAGGTAGTAAAAAAGAAATTAATAAGGATAGATTAAGGAAAGTTTTATTTATTTTAACTTTCAGTGACAGCCTAAGTAAACAGCCTGGCCAAAATTCTGTTATATTCCTTCTGTAGCTCCCTACCATTAATGTTAAACAGCAAAGGTAACTGGCAGCTCCAGTTGTTGACTTGAAGTCTGTGAAAAAGACCAGTCATTTATCAGAGAGACAGTCTGCTTGTCAGCCCAGGCTGCCTGGCCTACAGGAGGGCAGGTCAGCTTTGGGGAAGAAGGGTAAGAAATCCATAAAGCAGAATGTCACAGTTAAGGGCACATGGAGGGGGGAAAAGAGAAGA